GTTAATTTACATACCAGGTGAATAAAAAGTATAGAACCAAACGTTTTTCGCTTAAACTATTTATGAATAATAAAGTGTTATAAAAATGTGATGTTACATCAAGAATAAAATTTTTCGATTTTTTTTTTGTTTTTGAGTTCTACGAAAAAAATAATTTTTTAAATTGCAACCCATTATTAAACCATTTTTCTCATGAAGGTTATGATCTAAAGATTACAACATTTCTTTGTATTTTTTAATTTTTTTTTAATATTTCAAATAAATTGCAATTTTGACAAAAAACATCGCATACCTCAGACCCAAACAAAATTTCGTTCTCAAAATACGGTCACATTTTTTATATTACTTTAATTTATATTAGTTATTATTTTCTGGAGGCAAATGATAGAAAAAAACGCTTGGTTGTACATTATATTATATCTTAACGTAAGTAATAGTATATTACAACCTAAATGGGAAGTATATCATTACACCGAGAGCTCAGTTTAGCCAAAAGAAGGAAAATCCAAAACATAAAAAATGTAATTTCTATAACAACAAAGCTCTTTCTTTAAACGTACAAAATAAACAAAAATAAAATTACAAAAAAAAACGGCGTAAAATTTGCTTCTAACACCATTTAGATGTTTTCTCTCTTCTATTTTTATTTGGTTTTTGGTTGCATAAAATTTGATTTATTTATTTTTTATCTCTTTTATATTATAACTTTACATAAAGTAATAGTATATTACAACCTAGATGGCAAGTATTTCATTAACTCAAGAACTCAAATTATCTTAGCCGAAGCCCGAGAGTGTAATTCTGTTTAAATAATAAATTAGGTATCTATTGATGCATTGACGTAGTTGCTATCGAAACAAATTGTGTTTATAACATTTAACATTAGCAATCCTACATAAATCATTTTCCAACCAAGAGATAAAATGACTTTTAAAAGATTGAAAATAAAAACAATTTTTCAAAGTACAAATAACAAAAAACGGTGTTTTTTAAAAAACGACATTTTCATGTTTTTGTATCTCTATTTTTCAGTTGTAGATAATTTCTATTTTAATTTTTATTATAAAAGGACTTAAATCATGAGTTTTATAAATAAATAAATTAAATATTGAATAAGAATATAATCGCCATTTGTTTTAAGTGAAAAATATAGAATTTATAGTTGAAATTTGATATAATTTTGTTACAATAAGCAAATTATTTCCAAAAAATAATATAAATTATTTGGAGTTATGCTGTTATTTATTTGATATTGGCAATAGTTGAATTTTGCGTTTTTTTTGTTGTTACATGTTACAATTCCTAAAGCACAGTATTATAGACAAGGATAAACAAATACAAACTCTCATTCGATAAATAAAGAGAGAAAATAGCAGCCCACAATTTAGACTAGAGCGTTTCAAAAAAATTGAAGATTAAAAGCATGTAAAGAGTATAATGTTGTATGTCACTCCAGTGTAATATAACAGTAATACAACAGAAATTACTTACCTTTCCTGTTTTTTAAAACTCACTATTTTTGTAAAAATTTTAAAAAATACATATTTGTTATATCTGCCCCAAATTATCCGAAATACTATGCGTGTAATTAATTTTTTTAATAAAGTGGCCGATGACTTTAAAATTAAGTTGGCAATATTGAATAATGTAAACCAGTATCCTCGTGACTATAAATAATAACCGCTGTTTAACTTAATTTCAAAACCAAGGCCACTTTGATATTTAAGTTTTTTCGTATAAAACTTTTAAAAATTGATAAATAAAATGATAAAAAATATTCGTCTTCCGCTAAATCAAAAAATAACATTGTGAAATTAATTAGAAGCCGCCATCGAATCAGCCACTTCATTACTTCTCCAATTAAAAACCCCAATTACGCGATACCGAATCCAAAATTACAAAGTTCGAGTCGCAATTACATTGCTGAAACTCGTAGTTAGCATTTTTTTCAGCTTTGTTATAAGTAGCACTTCTGGACTTTACAGTCACGGCAAGATTTAATCGATGCTTTAGTGTAAAAATAGAGAGCAAAAGATCCCAAGTTTCACGCCTATCAATGCGTCTTTGAAAATTCTTGTAGCTTTTGGGTTGAAAATGTGCCGCATTGTCCGGTGGCGGTCGTCATCGAGGCCTGCGGCCCCTGATTTACGACTCCGAAACGGTCAAAGAGGTGATTTACGACCTCGAGAAATCATCATCTGGGTTTCTAAGTACGGCCACTGATGGGATTTTCCCGGGATTTGTTTTAATCTGCTTAAAGAGTTGCAAATTGTGGGATGAAAGGGCAGTTTTAGCAGCCCGGGGGTGAAATATCAAGTGTCAAGTGCGTTCCCATGGGTCTGAAAGGAATTTTTTTCGGGGCCGAAAGTAGGTACAAAAGTTGCACCTGAAAAGTGAAAAATATCCAGTATCAAAACTCGATAGTTGTCCCCATTTCTGCAGCCCCCCGGTGCGCCGGCCAGACGACAGCCAGTCCGAGTTAATTAATCAATAATTACAGTTTGTCGGGTTTGTTCCCTAATAGGTTTTCGAAGGTCTGTTATGAAAGTGATTAAAAAAACTAATATGTTTCGGCATGAAACAAAGAGGAATGGTCAGGCCGGTCGTAATTTCCGAACGAGAGGCTGCAACCCCCCGCAGTTTAACAGGACCGACAAAAGACGAGTGTCAGAACGAAAATGTAAACTAGGCGAAAGAATCGGACGATTTTAGTGGTTTGGTGAACGAAGCTGTGATTTTTATTATTGTCACACACGAAATTTCTTTTATCGAATTTTTACGCTCTTATGGCCTGGAAGGGCATTGTTATTATATTGCGAGAGGGAAAAGGGCGAGCAAGGTGAAATTTGACCTGACTCAAAGGCCCTAAATTAAAATAAAACACATTGAATCGCGTTTCAAGTTTTTATTCACGATTGTGGGAAGGCAAACTTGATTTATTTTTGCTAATAAGTTGGGGAAAATTGATTTCAAGGGGTTGGACGTCTTGGAAAAGTGACGACAAATAAAAGCTTTAACTTTGGGGCATGGAGTAAAAATTCTATTTTTGACATTTTGACATTTACCAATTTCTAGAGAGGTTGTACATTGTAGATCATCAGCATTCGACATTTTGCACTACTAACTGCACTAGTTAAATTAATACACTTTCGAAAATTCAACACAAATTCCGAAACAGACGTCTGGTATTTGTTTAAAAGCGTTATTATGATTTCATTACTTGCGTCTTGATTATTTTGTTCATTTACTTGTTAATTATAGTCTTGTTCTTTACTCTCCAATTGATTTCGTTTGCGAATAAAATAGTGTATGTTATTCGGAGTAAAAGTGATTTGTGTGGTAAAGGTGAACGTTTATTTTGCTGAACGTAGTGAGGCAAATAATTCAGCTGAGCTATACTATTAATCGAGTATTCGCAAAAACGTTTAGTAAAATTAAGTTTTTTGAGCAATCGTCAAAAAACAAAACTCGATTTTTAAATTATTTATAAAGTAAATTGGGCCAAAAATGGTGATTTTGTGAAATAAGTGTGTGAAATAAGTAAAAAATTAGCAAATTAGTAAAGAAAACGGTTTTATTTGTTTTTCTTATGAGATTTCACACAACGCAGTCAAACTACTAAATTGGGTCGAAAAATCCATTGTTTTGGACTTTTTCGGAGCGTTTTTCTAGTTTTTTTTAAAGCTAGAAACAGAACTGTTTTGTAAATTAAAAACAAACCAGAAATTTGTAAGGTTTGGCCAAAAATTTTGTTATTTTTAGAGTACTTAAACACGTTTTTGATATAAATTGAATTCGAAGTTTTTTTGAAAAATTTTGCCAAAACTGGCTAAAAATTTAATAAATTATATTGAATTTAATATTATTTTAACTTGTTTCCTCTCGAATTCTATGATTTTGAACTAAAGGTTCATTTATTTTGTAAAATCTTGTTAAACTTCACATTAAAATCACCAAAAAATTGATATTGGTGCTATTTTGTTTGTTTCACTCGATTTAACACGTTTTTGAGGAAAATTAAAACAAAAATAAGCCGAAAAATTGCTTTTAAACACGTTTTTGTAGTAAAATGTCAGGTTTTCGCAAAATTTCGCCAAAAAATCAACAAATTAAGTTAAAAATTATCATTTCTCGAGCGTTTTAGCGTGTTTTTCAGCTGGAAACGTAATTATTTCGCGCAATTTTATTAAAAACAAGCCAAAAAAATAAAAATCACAAAATTAAACAGAAAAGTATGTCATTTGTTAGAATTTTCGAGTTACACGTTTTTGAGCAAAATAAGCCGAAAAACTGCTTTTAAACACGTTTTTGTACTAAAATGTCAGGTTTTTCGCAAAAATTTTTTCAGCTCAGATCTAGTGAATTTTATTTTTTGAGTGGCAACACTGGTAGAAGAAATAAAAATGAATTTTCTTTAAATTAAATTTAAATTTGTTGGTAAATACAAGAAAAATGAACATTTACACATCAGAATATACAGGGTGCCCATTTTATCTGTTACCGCCTAAAGGAGCAAAAATAGGCAACATATTATACATTTCATAAATTATTTTGTGTAAAGTATTAATATTCTAAATTGCATAATCATAGTCGGTGCTTGACTATCGAAAACTTCAAAAAAATTAAATTCAAAACTCAAATGTATAATAATGGGAAAAAAATTAATTGTATTATTGGTTGCCTATTTATGAAATTTAAGGAAGGAATAGATAAAATCGGTACCTTGTATATTTTTTGTTTTTGGAAAAATCTGTTCTTTATTTTGTTACATTTGCAAATTGCCTTAAAGCTCATGATATGAGAAAAAGCATTCGTGGTTAGAATTTAAATAAAGATCATAATTTTACGGCAGGTTCTTCAAAATATGGTTCATCTCTACCGATCTTACCATATTATAAAATAAAAAATAAGTTAATACTAATTATGTATGTAAATAAATATTAGAGCTCAGCCGATATATACAGTGTAGAAAACAATAACTGAATATCGTAAGACATTTTTAAGTGTATGGGTATGCAACCAACTATACATAAATTCGTAGTTTTCAAACAAGCCGCTTATGGCGCTGTTTTCGCTACTCGCCTCAACTGTAATTTCCAAAACTCGACTTTTAGTTTTTTTGCAAAAAACAGGAAACGGAAAAGGGTTTAAAAAAAAAACTCAATACAACAGAATATATTATAATATTTTAGTAAAACACATTGACATAATTGCACACATGTGAAGCTTAAAGCAACCCCTTGCACAACTCCTGATCCTTGAGGTCTGAAACGACCTCCGAGTGCTCTTCCAGCATCAAATCGTATTGTCCATCCCTTGCCGTGTGTTCCGGCCCTTTGAGGGCATGTTTTCTGATAAAATCTACGACGATTTTAGGCGCGACTTTGGACATTTCCAGCCGATGACCCCAAGTAACAAGCGCCAAAGGCTACAAAAAACAATTTTTCTCTTTTTTTCACCTCAAATAACTTACACGTTGCGCTGATAATAAATTATAAGGCGTGATGACGTGTCTGTAAAGACACTTTTTGACTAATTTACGTAAAAAATTGACTTCGTTTTTGTCAGCACAAGGATGGTAAAGCATGACCACAGCCCCATGTTCGAGATTGTGGACCCAACGCTGACGCGGGAGAAACTTATATTCGCCGTATTTCGCCCAAAGGGGCCTATGGGTGCCACTACAACCCCCTAATTAACCACAATTCGTATTTAATTAATTACCTACAAAGTTGGCACAATTACGTTGTAATTAATCGACTCAGACATGCATTTATGGGGAGCCTACAATTAACCAAATTGAATCAACTAATTAATTAATTAATTCATTAAAATCCTACACTGTAGCTTTTGGGAATATAGTCTTGGGAATGTACAGGGTGTATGTCACTCCTAGACTCAAAAAACTGTCGCCTGTTGAAAATAAAACAAGAGTGATTGACGGGATTATAATCCCAGTCAATTTCTAAATTAGTCTGGAAAAATTAATTTAATTTAAGTTAATTATAGAATTGTGATTACTTTAGCGTCATCACAATGGGGGTCTTTCACACCCATCACAACCCCGTGTTTAGGGTCGTACATATTTTTCCTAATTGTGAAGACAGGGTTGGGGTCAGTGCCCACATCGGGGGCGTAGGGAAACCAACCCCCGTGCCAGTCGTCATCACCGGCTTTTACAACGCTAATTACAATTAATAAATAAATTAAATGTCCCAAACTGAGATTTTCAACCATTTCGTACCGTCTGTAATTATTGTAATTTAAAAAAAAAGAAAATAATTGGATTTAAGGGTGATTACCTTTAAAGCATAGCGTTTAGGGGTGACTAACTAATTAATTAAGTAATTTAGATTTGGTAAATAAAAATCTAGGAATTTGACACATTTGGCCTTGAGTTTATCTGACAGCGAACATGGCGCCGCTAAAATCCCTACATTAGGACACGAGTGAACTGAAAGTGTTAATAAATCATGAAAATGACCCACAAAGCATAGCATTTTGATATCCTAGTTAATTAATTGTGCAATTGTTGGATTAAAAGTAATTTTAGACAGAATTTGGGATTTTGACGGAGAATCTGGCGCCGCTAAAGTCCCTAGACGGGCACAAGGCGCGTGATTTGAATCGAGCGAATGGAAGAAGATGTGAATAATGAGACTGGCAACTTGAAATATGTATATTATATAGATTTTAAATGAATTTCCTAATTTACATAGGTACAAGTCCACAAGATGAGACTCGGATGATTCGGCTTAAGTAACAGAAAACATCTAGAAATAATTCGTACATGGTATTATTGTCTAATGTATAAACTTCCGAAAGCAACAAGGTCACAACTAGTGTATTTACAAGTGAAATGAGGTGATTTTCCTTGTGGTTTCATCTTGTGGAGGTTTGCGTGCACATTCATGACATGTTACAAGGAGCAGACATAGACACAGGTGCCGCTAGCTAATAAGAAGGTCACAACACACGAGTGAGGGGACTGCGCCCTCAACACCAGCGTCGTGGGAGAGCCAAATCAAAATTTTTCCGTGTTGCCAGCCCAAAAAAATCAAATTGACCAGATCCGAGTTGCCGATTTTCTCCTGATTACGAATTATGACTTAAATTTTTCTATTCTATTGTCGAAGGTTTACGTTTTTTACACAAATCTCGCAATTTTTTTGGTCTAATTCTGCATTTTTTTGGCTTTTTTTTAAACGAAATTTTGCGAAATTTGTTTTTAGCTGAAAAACATGCTAAGACCTGACAAAGGCAAAAATAACGACTTTATTTTATTTTGTAGCACAATTTCGTAAAAAAACTGAGATTTTAGTTCAAAAACGTGCTTGAAAGTTTGAAAAAAGGAAAGTAACACAATTTTCGACCAATTTTTGTGTTTTTCGGTTATTTTTTTTACAAAGGTTGACTCAAAAATGAGCTAAATCGAACAAAACAAACCAAATAACATCAATTTAATTTAATTTTTGTAATTTTACAAGATTGTGATTTAAATTTTTCTAATACTGCCAAAGGCTTACGTTTTTGACATAAATCTCGCAAATCTGCTTAAAAATGTGCTCAAACGCTCGAAAAAAGCAAAAATAACACTATTTTACTATGTAATTATGTAATTTTTTGGCTCGTTTCTAAAGAAATTTTGTAAAAGATTTACGTTTTTTACCTGAAAAACGTGCTAAAGGACTTAAAAAAAAAACAAATATAAAACCTAATTTAATTTTTTATTTTTGTTTGTTTTAGTAAAATCTCATAAAAACTGAGATTTTAATTCAAAAACGTGCTTAAAGGCTTGACAAAAGTAAAGTAACAACATTTTCAATCAAAATTTGTTTTTTCGGCTTATTTTTTGACAAAATTTCACTCTAAAACAAACGAAATAACACCAATTTAGATTACTTTTATAATTTTTAGGCATGTTTTGACAAGATCCTGCAAATAAAAAGTCCCTATTTCAAAAAGAAACTATATCGATAGAAACAAGCCAAAATTTTTTAGCTGGTGTTAGCAATATTTTTGGAAAAAACTTCGTACTTGTTTCAAAAACGTGCTTAAACACTCAAAAAATGCAAAAATAACACAATTTTTGGCGTAAATTGGTATGTTTTCACCGAAATTTTACAAAATAGTTGTGTTTTTGAAAAAACGCTCCTAAAAAAACAAAATAATGTACTTTTCGGTCCAATTTAGTGAATTTTTTTGACTCTGTTGGGTGAAATCTCATAAAAACAAATAGAACTATTTTCTTAACTAATTTCGTGATTTTTTGACTTAGCTTTGAAAAATGTTTGTTTTTCGGTTATTTTTTACGTTTCACTCAAAAATGAGCTAAATCGAATAAAACAAATGAAATAGCATCAATTTAATTTCATTTCTGTAATTTTACAAGGTTGTAATTTAAATTTTTCTAATACTGCCAAAGGTTTACGTTTTTTTTTATATAAATCTCTCAAATCTGCTCAAAAATGTGCTAAAACACAAAAATAACACTACTTTTGGTCGAATTATGTAATTTTTGACTCGTTTCTAACGAAATTTTACAAAATATTTACCTTTTTTACTCCAAAAACATGCTAACAGATAATAAAACTTGTTTTTATGTTTTTTTAGTAAAATCTCACAAAAACTGATATTCAAAAACGTGCCTTAAAAACTTGAAGAAAATAAAGTAACACCATTTTATATCAAATTTTGTGTTTTTCGGCTTATTTTTGACAAAATTTCACTGGAAAAGAGCTAAATCGAATAAAACATACAAAATAACATCAATTTAGATTTACTTTTGCAATTTTTAGGCATGTTTTAACAAGATCTTGCAAAAAATCCCTGCTTCAAAAACGAACTATATTTTTAGCCAGTTTCGTATTTACTTCAGAAACATGCTTAAGTACTTTAAAGATGCAAAAAAAACACAACTTTTGGCTTAATTTGGTAAATTTTTGGTTTGTTTTTAACGAAATTTTGCAAAATAGTTTAGTTTCTGAGTTTTAAGCTAACAATACTCCTAAAAAGGATAAAATAATGTACTTTTCGATCCAATTTAGTGATTTTTTGATTCCGTTGGGGGAAATCTCATAAAAACAAATGGAACTATTTTCTTTACTATAATTTGGTAGCTTTTTACTTATTTCGCAAAATGATTGAGGTTCTAGTTAAAAAACCTAGAAAATGCTCAAAAAATGCAAAAAATTATATCAACTTGATTTTTTTTCCTTGACGATTGCCTAAAAACGGCAGATACGCGATTAAAAAATCCTATTTATTAATTTTCTGCCGTAACTGCAGTTAAATATCTAAAAAGCGTCAGATATTCAGATTTTTACAAATGTTGTCACCAAATCCCCAGATCTGGTGAAATTTCACTAGACTTGGCAACACTGATTGTATTTTTTGAACCTCAGAGATTTGACAGTCCCAAAAGGTGTCGCTAGTGGCCAGGACACGCTTGCAGTGTACAATTACTAGAACTAGGAGCCTAGACTATGACACATAGTTCTGTTGAAGTGTTTTCACATTTGTGCTCGGTTTAGGTTGAAAAGGACACACAGAGAGAATCACAAGTTTCTCCTTGAACCACTGCGATGAATCGTTAAAAAAGTAGTCCTAAACTATGCTAAAAAAGTCGATGATCTTTTAAAGATGGTGCAAATCTAGCCGATTCATCGTGTAAGTGGTTAGAGGAGCCGATATATAAATATTGCCATTTCTTTGTAAAACTATGCTAATGTCGAACGAAAATCAACATAAACGTGAAACATCGTTTTGTCAAATTCCCTTTTAAAATAGCCTATCTCTACTACATGTCAACTACTTACATGATAAAAAGTATTTTTTAACTACATTAATATCTCACTTGTTTGCATCGACACTTAAAGATGCAAGAAAATTTATTATAAGTTTCAAAGATTTTCCAATTGAATTGACACGTATTATAACTTTGAATTGGTGGTGGTTACAATTCACACTACTTGGTGGTGGTGAATTACTAACTCCCCCCATACTGGAGCTACAACTATTATGATTTAGGTCCAGTATAAAATCGTCTCGTCTACGTACATGACGAAAGACTTATGTTCATTATTACAGAGATCCTTGAAAGCCTAGAAATGTACAAATCAACTCGAAATCAACTCAACAGGGATGACGGAAGACAATAACGCTGATGGTGCCATTTGCGCATGCGTCAAGTTTGAATTTCCCGCCTATGCAATTGTGGCGGGAAATTCGAAATACCCGTGTTGATGGCGCGCGCTGGCTGAAACGTCTTCCGAAGTTAGGCCTTTCAAAATCTACTGATTGTGTGGTGCACCCCTCTATAAAGAACAACAGCCTACTGCTAAAACTACGAAGCTAATCAAAAAATGGCACCTTTCCGAAATGCCCAAAATCAAAAGTTATAATATAGAAAACAGTAACTCTGTACACTAGTACGCAACATTTCTAGACAATTTCTAAAAGAAATATCACACATTTTCGAACTCAACATTTACATATTATTGCTACAGCAAATGTTTCGAGATTCATTTTAATATGTTCCTTTTTTTATATTATATTGTATTTATACAGTAACTGCTAAGCTACGAAACAAGGTTTTTTTTTATACCCAAATAATACCTAAACTGTCTCAACAACAAACAATGCTTTATGTTTGGAGCAAGCGAAGAAGAACGATGATTTGGTGAGAGTTACCTGCAAGATAACAACTCTCAAAACAAGTAACCCAATGTTAGGAAAACTACTCACAATTAACCCCCAAGTCCGAGATAACTTCCGATGGTGACTGTGACTATTAAACCGAGGATTGTTACGCAGACTAAGATCATTATTTTCTTCTGCATTTTGAAACAAACACAAGAGTCAAGGGAGGAAAAGTTTCATTACCACACTACGATGTGCCATTGTCACTCATTTATACCGATCGAGCACCGCGGACGGTACTTACCCCAATGTGCATTTCTAGTGTCGCTCAGTACAGTGTTAAAATACTCAAAATGTGTGTACAAAATTCATGGAACCAAAAAATAATTGCAAAAAAAATGTGATCGTATTTTATCTTTATCAACATTATTTATAGCTATTGAAAATTATGTTTTTAAGATTAAATTTTTTTACAACATTTTTGCAACAAATAGCAAAATTGGAAAACTATTTTTTACAAAATGTAACGAAACATTATTTTTAATCAAAATATTCGAGGTGGACAAAAGTATGAAACTAATAAACGTCTTTTTTAATCATTTGCCTTCAGAAAATAATTGATAAAAATTAAATTGCTTGTTGTGTCCTTGAGTGCATTTTTTGATTAAGTTTTTTTGATAAAAAATCATTGAAATAAGTGAAAATAAGGCCTTTTAGACATGATTTTGTAAATTTCTGCCCTATTTTGGCAAAACCTCTGGAATTTATTAAGTTTTTTAGTAAAACTGTTTAAATTCAAAAAAATAATCGACAATAATAAATTGCAGAAGTAATGTTGAAATTCGCTTTGGTTAAATCAATAAAAAACGCTCCTAAACTCTAAAAAAACTTCGGATTTCAGACTTTATTTTGCAGTTTTTTTTTCTGGTTTTAAATTTATTTAGTTTTGCAGTGAAAAATGCTCTAAATTTTCCAAAATAAATGAAAATTGAACATTTTAGACTAATTTTGCTTTCTTTACGTTGTTTTAACAAAATGTCTCAAATTTTGCGAGTTTCTCGGTCAAAAAACGCTACTAAATTTACAACAAAAACATTTTGGAGGCAATCGTGCAAATTTTGGAAAAATATATTTAGTTTTTTGATGAAAAATGCTTTATTAAATAAAAGTGAAAACAAAAACATTAAACCCTTTTTCTTTTTTTAATATTGAATGTTTTTTTAACATAACTTGGCAACGCTGCTAAATTTAAAAATACAAGTAGTGTATGATTTTGGAATTTGCAAAAAATAATAGCAAAACTTTTTGATTTCTTGAAAAACTATTTTTTATTGAATTTTTGAATTATGTAAAAAAACTGAAGCATTATTTTTGATCAGAATATACGGGGCGAACAAAAAGTATGAAACCAACAGTTTTGTTTATCATTTGCCTTTAGAAAATAAAAATTGCTACAAAATATGTGCGATCGTGTTTTGACAATAAATTTTTGTTATTTTTGTATTAAGTATACGATTTTTTTTCAAAATAAAAACATCTTTTTCTGATAATAATTTATTGAATAAAATATATAGTTGTAATCTTTATATCCTAGCCTTTGTAAAAAAAGGTTTTATACTGACTTGTCATTTGAAAAAATTAAAAGTTTTTCAGAACTCAAAAACAAAAAAAAATCTTGAGAAACGTCATTTTATAGTATTTCAATAGTTTAAAAAAAAATAAATAAAAAACGTTTGGTTCCACAATTTCCATAATTTCACCTGGTAGACATGATTTTCAAGTATACAAGGTGTTTCATAAATAAGTTGTTTTTTTTTATAAAAGACAGTTTTGCATTGTAACTTATTTTTAAACACCCTGTACAACTACTTGAAAATATTTTTATGTGATACAAAGAATTTTCTACACATTTTTGAATATTTTAACGTAGGTCAACAATTGAGTTTACCAACCCAGTGGGACACCTGTGTTGTGATAAAAATAAAATAAAAAACAAATAGAAAAATAAAGTTTAATAATAATTTACATAACAGAAAAATATACAAGGCTGTGGAAACAAAACCGTAACTATCCTAGCCCTATAATCGGATAATTAGATTTTGGCGAATAAAATAACAAGATAAATACGTGGAGCTGTCAACGATAGATAAAATAAAAAAATGGTCGTCTTTGGTATGACTTAATCTAAAATCTATGTTTACATCAATCACAGACTAGGCATTTTTTCCAAAAAAAACTATAACAGAGAGTAACAAAAAATAGGTTTTGATTACGTTGAAACGCCAAATGTTTGAGTATTATTTAACCGACCGGTGATGCAAACTAGATTTGATAATTTTTACAAAAAATAATCGTTGGAATCCACATCCACTTACCACACTACACACTATATTGCATTTGCAATAGTTTACAAGCTAAAGTGACGATTTTTTTTCATTTTTTTATTGCTTAGATATTACATTATAGACACAAAAACTACCTAAGCTCACTATTTATTACGAGATTCAATGTGGGGGATATTTATTTGGGCAGTTACATTACGTTTTTTTTAAATGCAAATAAACACGAAAAAGTCACTTTTAAATCAAAATCAAGACACCAGAGTATATATTGCAAAACACTTCCTCCACTTTAACCGGGCAGAGTGACCGCCAAAATAATAATTAAAATGATGATAGCTACTATGAGGCAGATTATGATCAGGATCTTTTTCTGTAAACAGAAACAAAATAAAATAAGAACGAAGAAACGCCAAAAAATGAGCGGAACAATACCAAAAAAAAAAACAACGACATAAAATGCACAAAGCAGGGATTGGGGGGCTCAGGTCCACCTACCTTTCTCGCTTTGGTCTGATACTCCTGAGCAGCTTTTAGCTCAGAACGTCCTGATTGGACATGATTCGCAGTCAAGCCAACGTGATATTCCACTCGATCAACAAGTTCGCCCTATGGTGAGGAGTGGAGGAGGGAAAAAAGGGGAGGGAAGAACCCACCAAAGAGAAACACCAAGAAAACACCGCAACCAACGATTATATTTATGTACAAAGTGACAAAGGCACACACAGTAGTTAGTCGAGTTAACCATTAGCGACAATAAAACAATAAAAATAAGAAAATCGGTCGGGTCAAAGGGAAAGAAGAGGAGGAGAGAGAAAAAAAAAACGACAAAAATTAGAAGCGCAAAAACACTGTGTTTGGACTTAAAAACTAGGAACAGACTCACCCGTCTCGCTTTGCTTTGGTACTTTAACGCTTTTTTGGTATCTTGGGTCGCCGTTTGGACGTAATCGACGGCGTGTTCCACGTGGTATTCGATACGATCGATCATTTCGCCCTAGAAAAACCCAGCAGGAAGGAGGAAAAATTAACGTGTTAGTGATATTAGAAAGAAGAAAGAAATACTACGATCGAGAGAAGGGTATTAATAAGGGATGTTACAGGGTTGATATTAAGGCCCGCTGGGTAATCTGTCCGAAACTATCGTTACATTAATATTTGAGCCAATTACGCGACCGATAACCACCAACAAATGGCGGTCATTTCATTTAAACACATCAAAATTTGAGAACAACGAGGATGAACTTGTTCCAAAGTAAAAAATCTAGAGAGAATTGATTTCCAAAAAACGAAAACCTTATTTACACCAAACCAATAAATAGAGTTAAATAACAAAAAAAGATAAAAGAGTCAAAATTTGTATAAATAGAATTCTTTCTTCTGTGCTGAAACGCTTGAAAAAATATTACCATTTTCGAGTCAATTCGGTGATTTTTAATGAAATAATTGAGTTTCTCGCTGAAAAAACGTGTTAAACCCTCAAAGAAACCAAAAACAGTATTCTTAACACCCTAATTTGGTGTTTTTTTAGTATTTTTTGGCCCATAAAAACACCATTTCCAACTCGATTTGTTGGTTTTCCACTTTTTTTGATGAATTTTGTAAAAACACTTAAAATGTCTGTCAAAGGCACAAATTTTTTATCCCAATTTGGTGATTTTTCAGCCCTGTTGAGAAAAATCTTCTTCAAAAACGTGTTTAAAAGTTTGAAAAAAGCGAAAATAAAACCATTTTCGAGTAATATGTTTATTTCTTGACTTCTTTTTAACAAAATTTTGCAAAAGAACTGCGTTTTTTATTGAAAAGTCAGTCAATGTTCGTGAAGAACAGAAATAATGTCATCTTCGACCTAATGTCATATTTAGAAATCTCTGAAAAATCTTTCAGATTTCAGTTTTCAGCTCAAAAATGTGCTTAAACACTTGAGAAAGAAAAAAATTATACCATTTCAGACCTAATTTAGAAGGTTTTCTACTTGTTTGTAATAAAATTTAATTTTTTCTTTTAAAAAAATTTCATTTTCAACGAAATTTAGTATTTGTTGATCCAAGCTAGCTAAATTTCGCAAATTGAGTGTTTCAGACCCAAAAACGTTCTTAAACGCTTGAAAAAAGAAAAACCACCATTTTCAAATAAATTTAGTAATTTCTCGACTTGTTTTTGAGGACAAAAATATGAAATTTTTTGGTTCGATTTGGGATTTAGTCAAATTTTGCGAAAAGATCGAATTTTTGTCTCAAAAACGTGCTTAAAAATGCTTGAAAATGGGAAAAATAACACCACCTTCCACCGAATTTAGTTATTTCTCGACATGTTTGTAATAAAATTTTACAAAATAATTGTGTTTCTAATTGAAAAAAGCTCTAAAATTCTCGAAAAAGAACAAAACAATGTAATAAAACAATTGATAATTTTTCTGACCGGTGAAGTAATTTTTAGCATAAACGCTCAAAAAACGTTAAAACAACGTCATTTTCGACCTGATTTAGTATTTTTTCGCAAAAATTGAGCTTTTAAGCTCAAAAACTCCTTAAACGCTTGAAAAGTTTTATTCATTAATTTTTCAACTTGTTTTTGATAAAGAAAACGCACTAGAATGTTTAAAAAAAGTAAAAATAATGAAATTTGTGACCTAATTTATTAATTTTTTGGGACTCTACCCAAATTTTAAGAAAAACTATGTTTTTACCTCAAAGCAGTGTTTAAATGCTTGAAAAAAAAATTACACCACTCACGACAAAATTTTGTTATTTCTCGGTATGTTTTTAAGAAATTTTGCAAAATAATTGCGTTTCTAACTAAAAACGCTCCAGAACGTTCACAAAAGAACAAAATAAAGTAATTTTTGACCTTAATTGGTTATTTTTCTGACCGAATCAGCAAAAACTGAGTTTCTAGCTCAAATACATGGTTAGAAAAAAAAAGCTGGAAAAAAAACATTTTAAACTCACTTCGTGTTTTTCGACTTGTTTTTGAAAAAATTTTACAAAATAAATTCGTTTCACACTAAAAAACGTGCTAAAATGCCCGTAATAGGCAAAAATAATATTTTCGACCCCACCTGATATTTTTCGAATTGGTTTCACAAAACTTATAAAAATAAATTGCTCAAAAACGTCCTCAAAAAACTATATTGGTAATTTTTTTCAGTGAAATTTAGTGAAACCTTAAAAAAACTGTGTTTTTAAGTCAAAAACGCTCAATAAAACACAAGTTTCACAATTTCTAAACCTGTTTTTAACAAAATTTTGCAAAATAATTGCGATTTGATACAATTTCACATAATTACCGCGTTTCTTACCCAAAAAACCTAAGTTTTTAGCTTGGTTACGTACTCAAAAAAACTTAAATAAGACAAAAATAACATCAAATTCACCCTAATGTGGTGATTTTTCGGTGCAATTTATCAAATCTTCACAAAAAAAACAGCTTTTATTTCAAAAACGTGCTTGAAAATTCTGATTTATATTATTAGGTAAATTTTCGGTCTCTTTTGTCGAAATAGTAACAAAAAAAAAACATTCCAGTAAGTTAATTTCCGAGAAATTAATGTTTTCATTGGGCCTCCCTGTATTAAATTATTTTATGGTCTGGTATTTTTTCTCAAAAACTCAAGTTCTTGATAATAAATTTGCATTTCTTGGTGGAAAATTAATTCTCTCTATTGCGTCCCCACTTACCTGGTTCTCGACTAGCATTGCCATGTCCATAAACATGTCGTGTAATTCTTTGATTGAATTTTCTAATTTGATAATATCAGCGTGTCGCGCTTCGATATCAGCTAGGGTTTGCTTGGCTTGTTGCGTTTCCATTATGATCTAAAATTCCAGGATTAATCCTTGAAAAATTCAAGGATTATAAAAATACGTACACCTTGTGTAAAGACGGCCGAATTGCCCTGTTCTAACATCTCTTCTAATTCCTCGTTAGTTGTCGATCGACCGGCTGTAATAAAATCGCAATAAAATTGCGATAAAAACCGAGAAAAAACTTACTGATTTCTAATTGTCTTTGTATTCTCCCTTTACATCGTTCTCTGTAATCTGTCTGTGTCCGATTGTATTCCGTCATGACTTCTACGAATTTTCGGGATAACGTCGAGTGTTGCGTTTTCCGTATCCTCAAATCCGCCGACGATTTATTCGTTTGTTCTTCTTGCTCTATGTTTTGTTCTATCACTAAAAACGCGACATTGTTAATTTTTTTTACAATTTTCCTTCAACTTTTTTTTACCTTTAAGCTTGGCACGGACTTTATTGGCAGTTTTCTTTATATCGGCCATTAAATCTTCAAGTTCTTGTTTCGTTTCTGCAAAAATCAACAAAAAAAAAACGGGTAAAAAAAACTCCATTGTTTAATTATTCAACGTCAATAATCGATTTTTACGAGCAGGTGAAACGAAACGCTCACAACAACAGGTAAAAATGGAAGTCATCGACTTGATTAATTCACTGTCAATTGGAAACGAGGCGATTTTTATTCAAACAAAATTAACATTTCTAACGTCGTTCAGTGTATATTATTTTAATTAAGTTGAATGACGTTACCAGAAAACCGTATTTTTTTCGACAAACAAATTTTATTACTGGAATCAATTTGAATTTGAACGGTTATTGATGAATAAAATATGAAATTATGAGATCCGTTAAAGTTCCTCGATACCATTGGAAACAAGTTACTATCTTGTTAGAAATCTAGAAACTTTGCTCATTGTGAATTGAGGATGTAACCGGAAGTCAGGCGGAAATTCACGAAACTACGTTTCTGAAGCTAATTCTAATACTATCCAAGGTGGAAAGGAGGCTTTCAAAGCATTGAAACATTTTTTTCTATGATTTTCTGCAATCCTAAAATGGCAAACTTGTGTTGTTGACAAGCTATTGTTATTCTAGAAAATGTTCAAAAAATCGAAGACTTCTGAACAAATATCTAAATTATTATTTCAATTAAACTCAACCTGCAATTTTTATATAAACTGTTTTTTAATGAAACACCAATTTTCTTTTATTTATCGTCACATTTTTCAAACTTTTTTTTTCAAAGCTGATTTAAAAAGAGTAGTAATAAAGCGATCAGTATCAGTAATTCAATTTTGATCAGTATAAAACGATAAACGATCAGTATTTAATTCATTTTTGCACAGTAAAAAATTAAAAATGATCAGTATAATATAAATATTTTGCACAGTAAAAATAATAAATACTATTTTATTGTAATTTGTTCAGTAAAAAAGTTCAATTTGCACAGTAAAAATAATAAACGAATGTTATTTATTATTGGTACTTATTTTTATATTACTGAATATTTATTATTATTGGAGGGAGGTATACCAGGTGAATAAAAAGTATGGAACCAAACGTTTTTTGCTTAAACTATTTATTTTAAAAAAAAAAACTAATTGATGAGTGATAAAGTACTATAAAAATGTGATAATTTAACAAGAATAATTTTGTTTTTAAGTTCTACAAAAAATTTAATTTTTTTAAATGGCAACCCACTATAAAATAATTTTTCTCATAAAAGCTATACTCTAAGGATTACAACTATCTGCTTTATATTTAATTTTTTCAAAAATTTTTTAAAAATAAAACCGCTTGGTTCCATACTTTATATTCACCCTGTATGTATTAGCAAGGGCCCCTGCGCAAGAATGATTTTAGAAAGGACTGGAAACTGTGCACAAATGGTATTTTACATGCATTTATTATTTTGACTGTGCATTTATTAGTTTATTGTGCACTTATTATTTTTACTGATCAAAAATACTTGACATTTTAAATAATATACTGTGAATTTAATTTGTTGCCATTTAAAAATTGCACATCAGATTTGTAAACAATTCAAAAATACAGTAAAAAATAGTTAGTAGCAGACTTAAATTAATAAACACTTTCGAAAATCTCAACACACACTGAAGCGTGATGTTTATTATGATTTCATTATTTGCAAAGCGTCCTAATTATTTTGTTCATTAACTTGCTAATTATAGTATTGTTCTTTATTCTCGTTTTGAATAAGTTTGCGGGTAAAATATTATGTTATTTGGAGTAAATGTGTATTTAGGTGGCTCAGCTGAATTATTTACCTCACTACGTTGAGCACAATAAAAGTTCAGCTTCGCCACTTTTATTCGTAATAACATAATATACTATTATTGAACAATTGCAATCGTTTTACTGAGTCTACATGCTTTTCTATAACATTTTTAGTTTTATTTTTATAAAACTTAATCGCGATGAATTTGTGCTAAATCGCCGTTTCGACAAAAGAAGAAAGAAAATTTTCGAGTAATTGGCGAAAAGTTTCCTCAATTCATATTTGTTGCTTTTGGTACGTTAGTCTCGAAAGAATATCATGATGGGTGAGTTGTTTCGTATAGAAAGAAACTTTCTTTTCGGTTGAGAGAAATTCGTTGCGAATTCGATCGATATTGAACCTTTTTACACGACAATAATCAAACTTGGAAATTCTGATGAAAATTTTTTTAGTGACGCCTCACGTTTCATAATAATACGGCCGTTGCCTCTTTATGTTCCAATTTTCAGATGATAACTCATGTCTAGAGACGCGTTTTAGACGACATTAAATACGGACGACGACGACATTCCCCTTGATATAAATTAAGGCGAGGAGAGCATTACTTTGGAACGGTTTTCATATTAAATTTTTAGGACGCAACAAGAGGATATAATAAACTGTCATATTTCACTACTAGTTTCGTGAGAGGTTGTGAAGTTCTCTCCGTGGTCAATAATCATTACATTATTGACCAAGGGCAATAATATACCAAGATTATTTTTATTTGAAACTATTATCATCACAGTACTAACAGAACTATTTCGAGATGAAATTAATGCAAAATGAAATAAAAAAACTTAAACTTTCTCATTAAAAAACAATTTTTCTGTCTTTGTCAAAACTGTCAAAACAAATGAGTTTATTTCATGTTGAAATCCTTTTTTTCCCCTTTCCCTTGCATTTTCTTTGTTATTTTAACAAATATTTTCATATTATAAAGTTCAAAATTCCTTTAATGGGTGCAGAAGTAAAAAAATGACAACTTCATTTACGATTTACGATAATAATAATACTTTCAACTTAAGTTAATAATTTAGGTAAGTAATTAATAACTACATGCCCATTAAGTAAGGTTATTTCTTCACGGTTGCATTTCTAGATAATAAATGTGCTACTAGTGAAAAAAATATTCTAAAAACACAGTAGAGAAGAATTTTAGAGTCTCGCTATAAATGCTACGCATCTCGGGTCGGCTATAACAAATTTCTTCCCTACTTGTGATATAATATACTATTTTCGCAGTTTCGTATTTAATTTATTTTTTTTCATTTGATTAATGTTCTTGAAGTCGCGCCACCCCCGCAACCGTCATCTTTGGCCGACTTTTTGTCTTCTGTGTGGGCAGACTAATGTAGGAGTTTGATGCAACGATTGGTTATCAAAGCGGAAAAAACATTTACGTCGGTTGATTTCTACGTAAAAAGTGAAGCTCGATTTACCGTGACATTTGATAAATATTTGCAGTTATTTAATTTTCGATTAAAACCGGCGCCTTCACCAAAATACGCTTCTTGAAGTGAACTCTAAATTTCAATCAACACTTTACATTTTTAAACGAATTTTCGATTAGAAATGTACAAAAAAAAAGTTGTTTGAATGTTGAGTGTAATAATTGGGCTATTTGCAATGATGGACTCGGACCCTTTGATCTCCAATGGCTGTAATAATGCTATTTACCGCAACAATTTGTTTAATAAAATTACGTGAAATACTCGTGATATAAATAGACAGATGGTTGAGTGGTATTTCGAAAATGTTACGAAACAATTCCAGTGTTTTAATTGATTGGTTAATTTAATCTTATCAACCACAAAAAATTAATCTGACAACTTCCGTTTCAAATTTCAAATTTCAAGTTAATGTTCTTGTAGAAAGTTTCTTACTTATCTCAAACTATATTATGTATTAAATTCTTTCAACAAAAAATTGCGTTTTGTTTTGAAAGAAAATTAATATCAGAATAATATCACAAAAAAAATCTTTAAAAAGGTTGCCAAACAATTTTGACGTTCGTCAATATAAAACATTATTTAATAGTATATTATGCCATTAGGAGTAAAAGTAATAGTTTATGTGACGAAGCTGAACGTAGTGAGGCAAATAATTCAGCTGAGCCACATAAACCCACTTCTATTACGAATAACATATACTATTTTATCCAAAACGCAAGTAACTTGTGCAGTTAGTAGTGCAATATGTCAAATGCTGATGATCAACAATGCACCTCTCCAGAAATTGCTGAAGCAGCGAAAGAGATAAGAAAGAAACAACATTTATTAAAATCGTACATAATTTAATATTCAGCGAAATCATGGATCAATTTTATTAATAGTAAAATCACAGTTGAGCCACCTTTTTGCTGCTGGAAATTCTTGATCACGAATCCGCAATCTCTTTAATCAGCCCGCCAGCGTGATAAAAGCCTTTAGAAAAACCATCGACAAGCTGATAATGTTCGAGTTTCGTTGAATGAAAATACATCGATCGATAATGTGTTTGTCACGAGGCAAAAAAAAAATCATTTTGGTGCCCTAGAGAGAAAATCTAGGACTCGGTCGAGATCAATATGGAGTTTAAGGACGTTACGTTTAGGTATTCCCTAGTTTATCATCTCGTGCGGTAGCGCAACTGCAATCCGGGAGAGAAAGCAAACGAGAAAAAAGTGTCCCCAAAGCCGGAGACACGATTTGCTTAAATTTAAATACGAAATACGGGCTTGTAGCGTGTCGTGTATTTGTCACTTTTTCAATTCCTAACATTAAAAAAATAAAGAAAAAAAATACAAAACTTAAGTACGTCCGGGAGGGATGGAAATGTTTTTTTTACACACCAGAATGTCTTTTTACTTTAAAAAATGTATTTTTTATTTTGTTACGTTGCATTCTATGAAAAAAAAAACTCGTAGTTGAATTGAAATAAGATCATAGTAACTCAAATGCAAAGTAAATATAATCAAAAACTAAAAATATGAAGATCAAAAAAACAACAGTGAAAAAAGAACATCAAAACAAACAAACAACTAAAGTAAAAATAAAACAACCCTAAAAACTAGTTGAAAAGTAGAATGAAACCACTCAAAGACATAAACAAAATTTTTCTTTATGTGAAAAAAAAAATAAAAAAAATATTGAAAAAGTAGATCAAAATAATTTCAATTCTTACAAATTATGTTCTCACGAATCATTCTTTATTCAAGATATGTATAAATTAGAATTGCACAAGTTTTGTAGACAAAAAAAATTGTATATTACAACCAAAATGGCAATCCTGCATATTAACTCCAGCGGGATTTTTGAGACATTACTGCCCACGGGTTGAAAAGACGAATTTCCCCACCTCTAAAAGATTAGAAATCGTTGAATAAACTCTTCAAACTTTAAAGAAATTACAATTCTTTATCAAAATCTAGTTGTGATCAATAGTATTGTAATCCAATAATAAATGCTTTGATTTAGAGATTTTCTTAAATTCTAATTCTTCTAAAGATCTAAATTCATCAAAGCTTAAAAAACATAAAGTGAAGAAACTTCTGTAGATCTAGATTTCTTTATTTGCGAATTTTACATTTTTTACCCATTTCACAAAAATTTGAATCTTTATTCAGAATCTTGAAATTTTGATTACATTATAAAGAATCTCTGTTAATTTTATTATTATTAAATTGGTAAATAGATAATCCCGAATTGCCGTCCAATAGCCAATCACGGATTAGTGCGACCATTTCCGTTGTGGTTTAATCAGTGCGGCCAACATAATCACAAATAGAGTAAAATAAATCCAGATCTTGCATATTTTATGCAAAGTTGATTAATTTTGTTTGCTTGGATCAATGAAGTTAATTTTATCGCTGTGATGAAAAGAAATCATTTATTTAGATATTAAATGTAGTGTCGGTAATAAAGCATGAGAACCTAACCACTGGTCGTTGAATCGATCGTCAACAAATACATTCCCATTGTTAGAAAAGTACTTAACACACACAATACACTGATATTAGCTCCTCGAAAACTCTTTCTTCTTTCCCTAAACACCACTAAATCCATTCACGGATACTATTTTTAGCAAAGCAAAAATTATCATTAAACAAGTTTTGATTATAAAAGAGCTACTTAAATATTTAGCGAAAATCTCGCGCTGAAAAAAAAAGTTTAATAAGAGCATTCCCGGTGAAAAGTTTCACGCCGACGAACATTCTCAATTTATATTGTGATGAATGGAATTGAAACAAAAAAGTTCGAAGTTTAAATACAAAGTTATATACACGCTGTTCCCACATTGGGGTTTGTTAATTTTATTTTCAAAATTTGAAAACACCAGAAGAAAGACCTAAGCTTCTAAAATTTTAAAAAATGACAGAGTTACCGATTTTTAAAGTGGAAGGTCCAAATTTTTTTGAAAAACTCCATTATATTTCAAAAACGGCTAAATTTAGGTATAGGGAAAGCTAATGAAAACTTCCTTAAAATAACCAGATTAATCCAAAAACGCAGTAAAAAATATACCTTTCCATTTAAAATAAGAAAGTTGAGATTGATTTCCGGTATAACCGGAAGTGTCGCCATCTTGAAAATATTTTCATTTAGGAGGACTTAATGGATTATGGCTATGTACCAATTTTCAAATAAATATGATTTTTCGAACTCTCAATACTTTTAATGTGCGATTTAGACGGAACACTCTGTATAATAATAAAACACTGGCCTAAAGTCAAACTACTTGAATCACCCTCTACAATTTTAATTTGTGATAATAATTTCGATAGAAATTTTACTTTTACTGATTTTGTTGTGTTTTAAAATAATAAAAAAAATATATAAATAGAAAGGAAAAATGACCTAGTGACTAATATTAGCTAACCATTCCATTTAGAGTCGATTTACACTAATCTAAGGTCATGTCACGCGAGTTTTTCCGACTCTTTTTCCACTTATTTCTGATTTATCATCACGTTGGTTGATACAGGGTGTTTTCTTAATATTGCGAAAAATTGCAACCACATATTCTACATCGAAAAATAAGACTAATTTTTCTAATAAACAATAGTGCTATAAAGCTTCGTTACAGATATACAGGGTGATCAAAATTTTATGATAGAAATTAAAATCCTCCAAAACCACTTTGTGAGCCATTAATTATTTTCCGACAATTTTTCGCAGTTTTAAGAAAACACCCTGTATTTAATCGTGGACTAATCCGTCATAAATAGCAATTTTTCGTTGTGTTGAACTTTGTTAATTACGCTCACATTTAGTTGCAATTGGAGATAAATGTGAGTAAGCCCGCCTCCAGCACTCCCACACATTTATACCAAAATTTAAATTCAATCAATTCGCGATTTTTTCACATTTGCGAACAAGTTTTGATAAAATACATCCTGTATGAAAGGTTGCAATCGGTCGATAACGCGCCGACTTCCTCTCAACCTTTCCTTAAAACTCTACAAAGACAAAAAAAAATTGCAATAATCTGAAAAAAAATTCAAGAACGAGTCTGGATCGAATCCATAATTCGCGTGACTAAGCAAGAGGGTCGACGACAGATTGTAATCTCATTTTCTGCAAGACACGCGATTTTTTTCCGTAGAAAAAATGACTAGTTAGCAAGGAAAACTCGATACTCCGATGTAAAAATTCAATTACGACAACTCGTAAAATGTTACGACTTACTTTCATCACTTTGCGGTGCTGAAAGTATACTACTGTGTTTCTTCTTTACTTCTTCTACATTTGCTTGAATCTTATCTATCATGTCTCGTATGTCTTCCACCTAGAACAAAAGAAAACATTTGTTTGATGTACATTTTCACATCACAAAGTCGGCCCTGGACGTAAATTAAATTGTCATATGTTTCATCCACCAATTCGAATTGCAAATCCCCCAAATGATCCAATTTCAATAACTTGTTGCACATTTTGACAAAACCGTGTGACATTTTCGCATTTAATTAAGTTGAAATTTATGTTAGAGCTGCTGACATTAGTACATCCGCTGGGAACTATAACACAATATGGCCTTAGTGGTGTTATCTTGTGAAATAATATCACCTTGAGGGCTACGAGGGTGGCGATGAGAGCAAAAAAAAAAATTCAAGTGAGATAAATTGGTTATGTTCCACATTTTTTCGGCTAAAAACCGAAATTTTGACTAAATGAAAAAATGAATAAATTTATATACAGGGTATTTGCTTCAATCTGTGTAAATTTGCAACCACATATTCTACATCGAAAATTCACACTAATAAAAAAATGAAAATATGCAGTGGCGTGCGGGCAATTGTAAACTTGTAAAACTTAGCTTGTTTTTAAAGAAATTTTGAGAGATATTTACGTTTTTCGCTGAAAAACATGCAAAAAGACTGAAAATGGCAAAAATAATGACTCAATTTTGTGTTTTTTTTTGTTTGTCTTAACAAAATCTCACAAAAAAAACTGAAATTTTAGTTCAATAACGTGCTTAAAAATTTGAAAAAGGGTAATATAACACCAACTTGGAACAAATTTTGAGTTTTTCGGCTTATTTTTTGACAAAATTTCACTCAAAAACGAGCTAAATCGAATAAAACCAACAAAATAACATCAATTAAAATTAATTTTTGTAATTGTGGGCATGATGGACAAGATCTTGCAAATAAAAAACCCTACTTCAAAAACGAACGTTAAATTCTTAGCCTGTTCTAGCAAAATTTTTCAAAAAAAAATTCGTATTTACGTCAAAAATGTGCTTAAACACTCTAAAAATGCAAAAATAACACAATTTGTGCCTAATTTGGTAAATTTTTGGTTTGTTTTCAACGAAATTTTACAAAATAGTTTTGTTTCTGAGTTTCTGGCTAAAAAAAATCCTACTAAAACGCTCCTAAAAAGGCCAAAATAATGTACTTTTAGGTCCAATTTAGTGATTTTTTGACTCCGTTCTGTTCTGTTGAAAACTCATAAAAACAATAGAACTATTTTCTTAACTAATTTCGTGATTTTTTGACTTTACTTTCAAAAATGTTTGTTTTTCGGTTATTTTTTACGTTTCACTCAAAAATGAGCTAAATTGAATAAAACAAATGAAATAACATCAATTTAATTTAATTTCTGTAATTTTACAAGGTTGTAATTTAAATTTTTCTATCTGCTCAAAAATGTGCTAAAACACTCGAAAAAAAGCAAAAATAACACTACTTTTGGTCAAATTATGTAATTTTTGACTCGTTTCTGACGAAATTTTACAAAATATTTACGTTTTTTTACCTCACAAACATGCGAATAAACAAATAAAAAATCCCTACTTCATAAACGAACTAAATCGATCGAAACAAGCTAAAATAATACCAATTTCAATCTAATTTGTTAAATTCTTAGCCAGTTTTAGCAAAAATTTTCGAAAAAAACTTCGTATTAACGTCAAAAACGTGCTTAAACACTGTAAAAATGCAAAAATTACACGATTTTTGGCCTAATTTGGTAAATTTTCAGATTGTTTTTAACAAAATTTTGCAAAATAGTTTTGTTTCTGGTACTAAAATGCTCCGAAATCTTATGAAATCTCCTAAAAAATAAATAAACCTATTTTCTTAGCTAATTTGGTAATTTTTTGACATATTTTTGAGTAAGTTTGGCAAAATAATTGAATTTCTTCAAACTGCGTAAAACAACCATAAATTCTACATCGAAAAATCACACTAATAAACAAATGAAAATATCCAGTGACGTGCCCGCACGCCACTGGTACGTAAGGGCAAAAATAAACTTGTAAAATTGAAACTTTATCACCCTGTATATCGTTTCTTTGACAAATTAGTGTTATTTTTCTATGTAAAATATGAGTTGCAATTTTTCGCAATATTAAAGAAACACACTGTATATAAAACATCACTTGGTGGCGCTTCAAAAAGTGAAAGAATTCATACAAATCTTTTTTTTAAATCGTCCGTAAAGTAACCGAAAAAGTCTGTAAAGTAACCCAAAATAGTCCGTAAAGAGGTACTTTTTCTGACTCATATGTCATTAATTTAATTCGTCCGCAAAGTTGACAAAATAGTCTGTAAAGTATCCAATGTTGGTGTCAAATTATAATTGAATTTTCATTGTCAAACTTTACCTCGAGTGTTTATTGGTGTTTTTCGACAAAAGAAATAATAATCGGCCAATTGTAACAACAACAAAAAAAAATAAATAAATTCGATTGGTTTTCCTGCCATTTGCAAGGCCAAACGACGTCCCTAATTGGTCAACTTTTTGTATATGATAACCAATCAGAAAAAAACCGAATCGGAATTTGCTATAAAAAGTCACAACTGTTTTCCAATTGGTTGGATTTTTAAGCCGGGCGTTTATTTGTCTTTTTGTTAACCAATTAAAACACTGAGATAAGAAATGCGCTCCAGTTGGCTTATCAAGGTGAAAACAATGACAGTGTCAATTTTCAATCATAATTTTTTTAATTGTAGCTGTCATTTGTTAAGCATGGCCGACTAGATAAACCCACATTTTCCTTTTCCTTTTCACGCAATGTATTCGATAAAACTTCATGAATAAAGCAACGGATGAATCACAATAATAAAACAGTTTGACAGCTGACTGTCTTTTAAAATTAAAAAAATTGACATTGTAACAAATTAGTCGAAGTCTAATTAACACAGTCACGTGACCAAAATGAGAAAAAAACCCATTTAGCAGTAGTTTTTGCCACTCGACGCTCCATAAATTAGTCAAAAAACCATTTCGTGTTACACCTGACTCATAATCACATCGTATAAATTTTATTAAGTGTGAAAAATTTTCACAAAAACATTTATTTATCAACAATGAGTCACACAACCTTCAATAAATTGTCTGATAAAACCTGATAATTAAATAAAAAAAGTCGTTTCATCTGTGAAAATAAAAAACTTCAACTGCAATTTTAATCATAATAAATCGTTTTCTTTGAATCACCTAAACTTTTTGCAATTTTTCTAAAACGTCCTTGACTCTTAATCAAATTGGATGAAATCCCCAAACAGGGATCATGCATACTAAACAGGAAACTTTAATTAATTTAGAGCACTGTTTCATCGTAAACGTTTTATTTATTTCAGTTAAGATTTTCGATTGAAATCACTTTTTCGACATTGGACGTGCGAAGTGTTTGAAATTCAAATTCGACAAATTGCCCGAATTATGTGTTAATCGACGTTTCCACACTCTCCCATATTTAATAACGGAAGCGGCGATAAAAACAATCAAAGTGGACTGGGACTTTGAAATTGAGTTGGCAACACTGAGCAATGTAGAGAAAATTACTGGCAACACTGTGTTATTGATGGTGACAGCTAAGCTGTGGCAAATGAATGATCAGTGTTGCCAGCCCCAAAAAAAAAATCTAGTCAAAAACGTGCTTAAAAAGAAAAAAATAAAACCATTTCTAGTCTAATTCTGTAATTTTTTGGTGCGAAATAATTACGTTTTTCGCTGCAAAACATGCAAAAAGACTGAAAATGGCAAAAATAATGACTTAATTTTGAGTTTTTTTTTTGTTTGTCTTAACACAATCTCTGAGATTTCAATTCAATAATGTGCTTAAAACTTTGAAAAAAGGTAATATAACACCAACTTGGAACAAATTTTGAGTTTTTCGGCTTACTTTTTGACACAATTTCACTCAAAAACGAGCGAAATCGAATAAAACAAACGAAATAACATCAATTTAAATTAATTTTTTAAATTATTTTCACAAGATCTTGCAAATAAAAGATCCTTGATACGAGTACAAAAAGAAGTAAATCGAACAAAACAAGTTAAAATGATACCAATTTCGTTAAATTTTTGAAAAAACTTTGTATTTATTTAAAAAATGTGCTTAAATGTGCTAAAAATGCAAAATAACACAATTTTTGGGCCTAATTTGGTAAATTTTCAGATTGTTTTTAACAAAATTTAGCAAAATAGTTTTGTTTCTGGCTTAAAAAACGTACTAAAATGTTCCGAAAAAAAAACAAAATGATCGAATTTATTGATTTATTTTGTACTCAATGTTAAAGAGTGCTTTTATCAACTAATTTCAGTAGATAAAGTAGTCTTTTATCGTCTAGTAAAATAAAGTAATTTTTATCTACTGATTATATTTTATCAACTAATTTCAGTGGATAAAGTGGTGTTTTTATCGTCTAGTGAAATAAAGTAACTTTTATCTACTCTTTAGATTCAAGAAATTCTGGTAGGTGAGTACAAAATAAAACGAAATTGTTATACAAGACGATAAAGAAATTGTTTATCTATGAGTGAAAAGGTTAAGTTTACGAGTGACGAAGTCACGAGTGGACTTAACTATTAACTATTTATTTATTTATTTAACTATTTTTGACTCTGTTGGATGAAATCTCATAAAAAAATAAATAAATCCATTTTCTTGGCTAATCTGGTGATTTTTTGACTTATTTTGGAGAAAGTGTAGCAAAATAATTGAGTTTCTAGTTAAAAATAAAATTTTAAAAAATTAAAAATAATTTAATTATAATTACAAAGTAATACTGGTAATTCCAAATTTATTGTTTTTCTGCTGTAACTACAAAATCATGACATATTTGAATTGTTACAGTTTTCACAAAAACACCAGATCTGGCAACACTGAATTGACAATTGCCTATAAAAATGTGAGTCAAGGCTGCCAAACTAAGAATTTTTTACGCCAACTTGTAGATTAAAAAACAGTCGCCTTGTTTTGTTGCCAACTTAGATTCAGAGTCATAATCCCAACGCTTGACATGTTTTTTACTCATTTTTTTTTTCGATTTAATGTACAAAAACGTCACTTTCATTAATCATAACATCAGATTGAGATTAGATCAGATTAAAGAATGAATCACACGTGAAATGAAACATAAATCTCGTTTATCACTTAATGACCTGATTAGGCGTATTGTTTCCGAAAAAATGTCGTTACCAACCGAACAAAAGAAAATTCCCCCTGGTTAACAGGTGCCTTTTGGGACGAAACAGAATCAGAGTAGGTTGGATTTTTGACAAGTGTCCAGAGCCGTCTCGAGTAGTGTTTAAATGAGGTTAATTACCTCGCCGAAAAAGGCGTCCATGAAGCCGTCGCGGCCTTCGACGTTGACAGCCACATCGTCGGGTCCGACGTCGTCGTCGTCGCTCTGGGCCTGGAGAAAAACACAAAAAATTTCGTCAAAAACCACCAAATGAAAGGGGTGGGGCGGCGACAAAAGAATAACGCATTTCCACCTAACCTAATTGCCACTAGATCGGGGCGAAAAACCGGGATTTCGGCGGGGAAATCCCGGGATTTTCGCCGGGGATTGCGACAATCGGTCGCCACGGTGTGAATCACCGAAATAATTGGATTTGTGGCGAATTAGCTACCGTAAAAAGTAGTGATTTACCGCAACAAGGGCCGCCAATCTGTCTTTCGTCATCGTGGAGGAGGCTCAATCACACCGCACGAAAAACGTGTGTTTTATAAATGAATCCCATTCAAATAATTTAACACAAACACTAAAACTAGACCCGAGAAACCCAACACTTTCATCGGAACACGAAAATCGATAGAAGGGAGCTGCAGTGCTGTTGCGCGAGCGCGCATGCGCCCGAATTTGATGACGTCACTGGGACAATTTTCCACTTTGGGGGCGATTTTCGCGAAATCCACCACACGAATTTGAAAATTACCACGGGGGTGATGCATTTTGGATTTTTTCCGATCGTCTGGTGCCCCATTTGCGTTTAACTTTGGGCAAATGTGCAAAACGGGCGGGCTTCGAATCGGACATTCGCACCTTCGAAGGGAACGCCATTGTGGTCTCTAACGACTCCTCGAAGTAGCGAAAGTAATCCGTTGTTTTCCTCCTCATCTGTGTTTATTGAAGATTTTCACCTCGCAGGTAATTACATTTAAGTCCGAACTTCCCGTTTCAGGTGTTATTTTCGCACGATGGCCCCCATTTGCAGAGAAAAATATTCGCAAAGTCGGTAACTCAGTTTCAAAATCCTGTGAGACAGCCTCAAAGCGCCATTTCCCTCAAAAATTAAAACTTGGCCAAACGTGCGTCGAGGAATTGGGTGAATTCGCCCCCTTAATCGTGGTTTTGCCCCCAGAATGGCCCAGGAGCAGGAAATGCCGACCTTCAAGTGCGTCCTAGTCGGGGACGGGGGCACCGGTAAGACCACATTCGTGAAGCGCCACTTGACCGGCGAGTTCGAGAAGAAGTACGTCGCGACGCTGGGGGTGGAGGTGCACCCGTTGGTGTTCCACACGAATCGGGGGGCTATCAGGTTCAACGTGTGGGATACAGCCGGACAGGAGAAGTTCGGGGGGCTGCGCGACGGGTACTACATCCAGGGGCAGTGTGCCATCATCATGTTCGATGTCACGTCAAGGGTCACGTATAAAAACGTCCCCAATTGGCACAGAGACCTCGTGAGGGTGTGCGAGAACATCCCCATTGTGCTATGCGGGAACAAAGTCGACATCAAAGACAGGAAAGTCAAAGCGAAAAGTATTGTGTTCCACAGGAAGAAGAATCTTCAGGTTGGTCTAAAGTGAGGTTAGGTGTGTCAGATTTTATTCGAGACTTTTCCAGTACTACGATATTTCCGCCAAGTCGAATTATAACTTCGAAAAGCCGTTTTTGTGGTTGGCGCGTAAGTTGATCGGGGATCCTAATTTGGAGTTTGTGGCGATGCCGGCGTTGGTGCCCCCCGAAGTCACGATGGACCCCCATTGGCAGCAGCAAATCGAGAAGGATCTCAAGGAGGCGCAAGAAACCGCGCTTCCCGAGGACGACGAAGAACTTTAATTCCCGCATTTACTATATATTTAATTTTATATTATTTAACTAGTGTTCTAAGTTATTGTATCAGGGCCCAGTTGTTGTTAAATTGAGATGGCGCTCGCATGTGTAAAACTTGAAAATTAGACAAGATATTTTTTTAACAATCCTTCATTATTTGTAAGCCTCCTAATTACTTTAAGAAATAAATGGATTTTCACAAAACTTTTATTTGATATAAATACTTACCAAAAGGCGATGGAAACGCTCCATTTTGCAAGTGACACCAATTTTTTTATTAAAAGCAAATATTTGATGTTTGCAAAAGTTTTAAAAGTCAAGGAAAGCTAATATCAGGTGCAAATTGACGGGCAACGATAAATAAATGCCGGTTTTTTATTGCAGCATTTTGGAACAGATATTAAAAGCTCACTTTTTCTCATATTTTTTTTGTTGCTTAACAAAATAAGAAGTGGAAGTAAACAACATAAAAAGTTAGTTTGAAATTAAAATAATTGACAATACTGGTAATTATTTAGAAAATATAAATTTATTGTTTACACAAAAACATTTTGTTTTGCATAGGCCCACGAATAATGAAGCGTAATAAGGTTTCATGCGATATGCAACCAACAATTCACAAATATTAAAATTTTTTCACTGGCTGTTTTTCTGTTGATAGTTTTAATTTCTTTTAATAAATGTAAACTAGATTAATATATTTGTTTTGTCCTTTAGTCTTTCTCAATTGTTTATATATTTTTTTTTATATTTTTACTAAATGCAACTTTTACTTATGCAACTAACAATACACGCGTATCAAGCACATCAAAATTATAGCAAAATTTAATAAAAATTATTGCAACATTTTTTAAAGCAACTTGTTTTTATATTTAAATAAACGTTTTTCAATTACACATAAATAAATTTAAAGAAGAATTTGTTATGCAACTAAAATGCACAATATTTCCTTTTGAAAAAAATTGTAATTTTTGAGGATTTCTTAATGTTATATATTTAGCAAAAATAAATATATTTAACAAAATTGTTTTTCTTTAAAAATTTTTAACTAATCGTTCTCCTCTTTATTATTAATTTTTATGATATACAAGGTGATTCACGAGGAATAATGAGCCTGAGCAAATTCTCAATGCAACCACCATTACTCTTTCCAAGTTATTTTACGACAATTGTAATGTTGGTTGCATCGAAAATTTGGTCAGGCTCATTATTCCTTGTGAATCACCCTGTATTTTTACCTACTCTGTTATGCAACCGACAATACACAAATATTTATATTTAAACAAAACAAAATTAAACAAAAATTTCATAAAAATTTATATTTAAATTATTATTATAACACCTATTATGTACAGTTTACAATAAAAAAAAAATTTTAACGAGCAAATTATTACAAATTTTTTTAGTTTGTTTCTAATCTAGTTAAAAAAAATAAATAAAAAACTTGTAGTCATAACAGTTTGTTTCTACAGAATAAAGGATTTCAATTAAATGCAAATTGCATTGCATTGACAAATTGTCAAAAGCAATTTTACGTTATACAACCATCAATACAACAATATCAAAATTTAGTTATTTGTGATAATATCTTCTAAAAATTTCCACTATTTTGTATTCAGCAAATATAAATTCATTTAATAAATTAGTTTCCTAAAGCAATTTTTCTACATTTTCAAGTAATATACTGTGCAACCAACAATACACGATTACATAATTTTCAATACAAGGCCGCTAATTCACAACTTTACCCTCAATTTCTCGTTTTTAAGTAGGACTAAACCGTACTTTGCCAAAATCAAATTAGTTAATTACACGGTAAAAACGTCTTTATTTTACACTATTTCCATAACATAAAGTACAAAGTAATAACTTAAGAAGCTAAACGTTTATTTCTGTGCTTCCCTCTTCTCCCTCGCTTTCTTCCCTTCCAACAACTGTATTCTCTCATTTTCCTTCAACGAGGGCAAGACTTTGGTCACAACCCCAGTACCAAGCGTCTGGGTTCCATCCCTCAACGTGAACCTTTGTCCTTGTTCCAGTACCATGGGTCTGAATAATTTCAAAATCAACCTAAACACAAACACATTAAAAGTGCACAAATCGAATGAAATTTGTACTTTGAGTCCTCTCCCGGCATCACCATTTCCTTATCGGGGACAATGACCTGAATGGCGCAATCCCAAGTCCTGCAAAACATCTGTAATTGGATGAAGGAGGTGAAGGGCTTAGTCCTGCCCCCCTCGTCCTTGCTCAAAATATACACTTGAGATTCAATATGGTCGTAGCTTTTGACACTTCCGGGCTTGGCCATTACCATACCTGAAATCCAACATTAAACCCAAATTTTGAGACGTTGAAATTTGTTAGAAAAAATTGAAAATTAATCAATTATTTCTATTGCTATAGCAAGGAAACCACACTGGTGGGTTAAACCACCCACCAGCTCAAGATCTTGCATTGCGCCCCCTTGTTTACCTCTCTTGATGTCATCTCGTTTGACTCCTCGGACCAAAGCCCCGACTTGGTCCCCGGCTTGTGCCTCCTCTAGGATTTGGTGGAACATCTCAACCCCCGTCACTGTGCTTTTAATCACCTTATTGAACCCCACAAACTCGCAATCGTTCCCCTTTTTGACAACCCCCCGTTCCAGACGCCCCGTCACCACAGTCCCCCGTCCAGGGATCGAGTAGACGTGCTCCACGGGGAGCAAAAACGGCTTGTCCAACTCCCTCATGGGGGTGGGAATGTAACTATCGACTTCCTTTAAAAGTTTGAGGACTGCTTCGGCCCCAATCTCGGGGTTCTTCCCCTCAAGGGCGCACAACGCCGACCCGGCCACAATGGGGACGTTATCACCGTCGAACCCCATCTGGGTCATCAACTCCCGGATTTCCATCTCCACCAACTCGACCATTTCCTGGTCGGCGGCGTCGACTTTGTTGATGAAGACCACGAGGTGATCCACCCCGATTTGCTTGGCGAGAAGGAGATGTTCGCGGGTTTGGGGCATGACCCCGTCGGTGGCGGCCACGACGAGGATGCCCCCGTCCATCTGCGCCGCCCCCGTGATCATGTTCTTGATGTAGTCGGCATGTCCGGGGCAGTCCGTATGCCCGTAATGCCTGTTTTCGGTCTGGTACTCGATATGGGCGACGTTGATGGTGATGCCTCGCGCCTTCTCCTCGGGGGCATTATCAATATCTTGGTACTTTTTTGCCTCGGCGAGCTTCTGGTCGGCGAGGACTTTGGTTATGGCCGCGGTTAGGGTCGTTTTTCCGTGGTCCACGTGCCCGATTGTGCCCACATTGCAGTGGGGCTTCGACCGGTCGAAAACCTTCTTTTCAGCGGCGTAAAAACGGTTTTGGGTCACTGTCGGGATTATGCATTGGATTATGCGCCCCTGGTGGTGCAATTTCGACAAGTCGTTCGCCAGAAACTGCTTTATTGCTCGATTTAAAACTGGAAAATTCACTTAACCTCACTTTTTTTCCGGTGTTTTTGCTTACCTGGTAGCGAGCGTGCGACAATAAAAGCGGCCATTTTTCACAGAAAAGCGATAAAACGAGGATTACGGGGGCACAAAAAGTGTGTTTTTACGCGTTTTCACTCGAGTTTTTGTCTAAAAAACCGCATGAAACATTATTCAACAAGGGCACAAAAATGGCGGATTTGGTGACTTTGAGACAAAAGTTACTAGAATTAGCCGGCGCCAAGTTTAAATTTTGAGACAATTTTTTTAACTGTGAGCGGTTTTTTTCACCAAAAAAGAGAAAACGAGTCATACAAGCACAAAAAATGTGTTTCTACTATTAAAAACGGCAAATTTGGTGACTTGGGGATAAGAAAAGTCACTAGAATTTAGCCGGCGCCAAGTTTAAATTTGTAGGTCAGTTTGATTCGGTTTGTGATTTTATGAAACTAGTTTTTACACCCCATTTGCTTCATTTGAATGCAAAAACGCTCGACTTGGTGCTTCAATCAAGCATAAATTTCGCTTAATTTGATATAACACGATTTTTAACAAATAATTTAATATTGGAGCACGACAGGTGCAAAAAGTTGTCTATTATTTTCACAAGTAGCATAAAACACCGTTTGCGATTTTAATTCAATGTTCGAGTTTCTCCACTCGTGACGAAAGTACTGCTTTTCTGTACTGAAATAAAAGAGATGGTGCAGATTTTTCTAAAATATGTTTTTTTTGCACTTGTCACAGTTTCCTTTTTGCTATTCTTATTCTTTGTTAATTTTTTTTATTCATGTTCCTTTGTTTTTTTACGAGTCAAGTTATATTAAACACGCTTTCTTGTTTTAATTTTCTCTTTTTCGTCCTTCTTATTTTTTTTTTCTCTTCTTTAGAGTTTACCTTTTTCGTGTGTTTACCTATATATATCTTTATTTTCTTTTAATTTTTCTATACCAACATTGCGTTCTTCATTTACTTAACAGCTTTCATCTCACTCTTATTGCATTTTTAACGTGTTATTTACTATTTATGCCGTAATATTTTACTTTTACATTAATTTAGATAAATTAATTTATCCCATTGTTTCTTTACCGTTTGTTTTCTGTTGCTATTTTTGTCTAGTTTCTTTATATTGACTCTATTTTTCACTTTTATCTCTCGTATTTTTGTGACAAAATTAGCAGTTTTAATAAATTACTTTATTTGTTTGCGTTCATAATTTTTTTCCTTTTTTTACTTGATGTGTAAAAGTCGCAGTTTGGTAAGTTAAACTTTAAAACGTAAAAATAAAAAATATAAAAAAACATAAAACACAAATAATAAAAGTTCAAAAAAAGAAATAAAATAGCTGACAAGAAAATTATTTTAAAAATAACAAAAAAACTAAGTTTAACTGGAAAAGTACCAAACGATGGATGTTAAAAAAGCTTTAATAAAAATTAAGAATGTATAATAGTTAAAAATAGAAAAAGACGTAATAAAGCACCAAACTTTATCAAAACTGTCAAAAATAAAAAAAATATATTATAAAAAAAATATTACCTATAATGTAAAAAAATAAAAAACAAATTTGAGAACTGAGTAAATAAGAAAGATAAATAACAGGTAAAAACAAAAAATAAACATAAAGTAAAAGCCAAGAGGAAATTACTTTGGAGCTTAGAACAGACAGAAGAATATGTAGATTAGGACGGAATAAAGTTTTAAAAAAAAGTATTAATAACATTGAAAAAATGATGAATATATAAATAAAAAATAGGCAATATCTATAAGGCCAAATTTTATTACTGACAATTTCTTGACAATTGACAATTCCTGTCAATTCGAACCCGATTCTAACCCAACTAGAGTCAAAATTCAACTTTGATTGAAAGAAAACTGGCCACTTGTTCGCCGTGCGAAATAAATAGTGAAAATTGGCTGTCATTGCGATCGTTAAAACCGAGTTGCCGTCAACCCTTTGAGATTTGTCTGCTATTTATAGCACGCAGGGGTGCCTTCCTCCTGTCACAAGTTAATTGCAAGGGTAATGATTTCGTCCTCATGCTTTAATAATAACGCCCATGGGCGTCGTTTGAGGGGGGGTGGGCTAAGACATTTTTTCAGAAAAAAAAAACAACCAAATTGGAAAAAATCTTGTATAAATCACGATTCAAAATGGCTGTTTTTTGCACACGTCTAGTAAAAAACA